CAAAAAAATAAATAAAAAAGTCAGGTAAGGGTGTGTTAAATAATGAGATGGGGGAATCCTTTCACTATATATACATAAAATCTCCACGATGTACACGTTATTTACCTTATGACATATTTGTCACTTATATCTCAATAAAGCTAAATTTTACAAAAGCATCATGTTGTACTATGTGCCTAGACAAGACTAAGCAAAAATTTTTGCTATGCTGATTATAATCGAGGACATGACCATTTTCCACTCTACTATTACATAAAAAATCATAATTAATAAAAAAAAAGTGTCCTATAATGATCAGATTTGCAACCCTATGATAGATGATCAGATAAAGAAGCTGTGGTACGTATATACAATGGAAATACTGCCATTTGCAATAACATTGGTTGGACCCTGAAATAATCATACTAAGCGAAATAAGCCAGACAGACAAAGTTGAATATCACATGATATCACTTATATGTGGGATATAAACCTAAAAGCAACAAATGAATAGGACAAACAGAGACTCATGGACATGGACTATAGACCAGTGATTACCAGAGGGTAGGGGGGTGAGGACAGTGGGGAGGTAGACGGGGTAAAGGGGATCAAATATGTAGTGACAGAAAGAAATCTCACTATGGGAGGTGAACACACAGTGTAAACATATATATGCCTTACTATTAAAGTGTACAATTGAAACCTATTGGATTTTGTTAACCAACGTCACAATAATCAATTAATTAATTAATTTAATTAAATAAGCCACAGGGTATAGTGGAACTATCTCAGGCTTCAAAACCAGTAGTCCTGGGTTTAGCAATTCATCTCTCAGTAACTTAGAAGCCTTCTGAATCCCATTACCTTCATCATAAAATAGGGTTGATAATAATAACACCTACCTCAAATGAAAATATGAAGATGTACTCATCTCTGAACAGTTATAAGAAAAAGCAACATTAAAAATACATTTTTAAGTAATATCAAAGCTGTCAGAAATAACTTTTCTGCTTAAAATTCAAGAAACTCAACTCCTTCCATATTCTTCACTTTTAAGGTCAAACACAGAATAATACAAAGAGAATATCCCACCAAACATCATTCTTTATTGATAATCTATAGTCAATTCTAAAGACTTCATCTGGTAAAACATAAATATAAATTAGCAAATAATAAATAAAGGTTGAAAATATGTTACTTTTATCCAAATAGGATCCCGAAGATTAAATAATCTCACATATACAATCATCCACCTTTAATAAAATTACGCAAATGAGCAAAAGACTCCGTAACGTGCTCATGTTCTGAACAGCACTTTAGTCTGCTGTTTCTGATCAAAAAGCAGTACTTCAAACAACACGGGCTAAAAAAACATGGAACTCAAGGAATGCCACTAAAAACCGTTCTACATGAAGACAATACTAGCAGAAAATGAAGTATGCAAAATATACATATGAAAATCCTAAAATCCACAGATATATTCATTGGGAAGGTGACTCTTGTCCCATTTCATCAAAAGGCACAGGCGTAGGAGGTCTGTTTCTGAAACTAAATACATCCAAATTAGCCCAAAGAATATAGTGAGAGCGAGCATGGCTGGCCTACGTATCTAAACCCGCCATGGTATGAAGCTTTTACCTCCCACATGACACTGAAGCCCATACAGATGTGCAATGGACATGTGCAATTCATTTACCAGCCAGTCGTCTTTCCCAGGGGGCCAGCAAAACAGCTCAGGGCCCATGCATCTGAGTCCCTCTGTCCTGACCTCAGACCTTGCTGTGTGACATCGGACAAGTCACTTAATGTCTCGGTTTCTTATTTGTGAAATGAGGATACTACCTGCCTCACAGGGTTGTTTTAAGGATTAAGTAAAATAATATATGTAGATTGTGTAACACAAGTTCTGTCTAAGTATGCAAACTCCATAAAGCAGAGATCTTGTTTAAAGTGTTTACTGTTAAGTCTACTGTTTTAAAAAGTACCTGGTACATGGCGAATACCCAATAAATATTTGTTGAGTGAGTGAATGAATGAATGAGTGAATGGGAGATAATATTGATGATGGTGGCAGTAGTGGCAAACAGGAAAGGAAGAATAGTGTCTGTCTGATGCTGTCTACATCTTAGTGTCAGAAGCCTCTAAAACCCTTCTACTTAAAATAAGCCACCCCATGCATTATCAATGTCCAGTCAGCAAAACTTTCACAGTTTCTGCTTAAAATTCTCCAGCTGTTCTCCTGCAGCAGTCAACATTCCAGGCTGTTTTGATCTCGAGAAGATGCCAGAACCGCCCACAGCCATGCATCTTTAAAATCAAGAGTCAATTTTAAGATAGTTCAAAATACAATACTAGTATGGCACGCATTGCTTTAAAGCCACGGCAAATTTAAATTTCATAATACAAGCTTTTCCTAAGTGTCTCAAAGGCATCAAGTGCAAAAAAGAATTTTTTAATGGAGTCTATTTTCATGAAAACAAGAGGTTTTATGGCATAAATACTTATAAAGTCCAAGTGGTACATTACATTACATAACAAACAAGCCCCAATAATGTAACCAAATGAGTAGTTAATTACTTTTGTAAGAAGGAGCAAACATTATATGTTATAAAAATTAATTTATAAAACAAATTTTTAATAAAAGTTTTCCTCTAAAGGGACTTTTTTTTTGTAGGTCATTATATCCAAATTAAATACACTCTGACAATCGACAATTACTGATAATGTATAAAACCCTGAATTTCAAAATTAAACAGAATGGTATATAATCAGTAACAAATATTTTTATACAAATGATAAAAGCTGTATTAAAAATCCAGCTATCAAAAATAGAACTACAAAATGAGTTTCAGCTAAGGGAAAATAAAAATTTTCAGTAGAAAAATCATGTAGGAAATATGCTTGTAAAATCCCAGCTTATAAATACTAGCCACTATACACATCTGTTTATAACATTTTTGAAGGGTTATATTGGAACATTTAAGAAAGAACGAGTCACGTGTCCAGAACTAAATGCAATTAAAAAGGGTTATATTCAGCCTCTAGCTCCACTTTCAATATTTTCTTTCTATGGACTGAAGTGAAACTGTTTAAGCTGAAAGGTTCCTAACCAGTTTAATTCAGGGAATAATTAAATCTGAGTTTTCGAAGAGACCTACGAGGTCATCCATCTAGCCTAACCTTGCTTCTCATTGGAGAACCTCCCAGTGCAGCCTGACAGACAGATGAGCCACTGTCCTCTGCACAAATACACTGAGCGATGGGAGTTCACAGCTCCACTGGGGAGCACATTCCATTGTTAAATAACCAATTGATAGATGAGAACTCTTTCTAGGAACTCCATATCAGTCATCCTAAAAATTTTCCACTAATTAAGTCCAGTCTTTCCATCTGTTATCAACACGTGCCCTACCCTTCTCTTCCCCCAATCACCCTACAAACAACGGAAGTCAACTTTCATGGTTCTTCCCTGCTCCCTCCCTTCCAGTTTATCTTCACGAAGAAGCCAGAACCACCCTTGTAAAACAGAATAAACAAACGAAACCAGATTATGTTTTTCACTACAAAGCAAATGCACACAGAGAAAGTCTAAGGGCTTCAGTGTGCGCCTTAGCAGGCTAAGAGCACAGTTCTCTTGGGAACCCCACCCAGAGTAAATGAGGTGACAGAACCTCATCTGTTTTGGGGCCAGAAAGTCTCGGGAATGTTGGGGGTCCACTGGAGACGGCAGAATGGAACCTAGTTCCAGGATCCACATGCGTGTGCAAATTACACACTCTTCCCGTTTCTCCGAGCCAGGAGACCCAACAATTGATCTTTGGGAAGGAGGGGAAGAGCTTGCTGTTGAAAGAGAGGAAGTGGCCGAAAATAAAAGCAAAAGAGTTGTGTCTGAACACAGAGAGAAAACCGTGCCGTCCAGAGCACACTCGCATACTTGGGGCTGTTTAAAATGTCTGAATAAAGCAGGCCTGAGTGCTGTATTCTTAAGAAACAGAGACCATTTGCCTGCAAATTAAATTTTTACAAGTATTCTTCGGCACACAAAACATGTTCTGTTCTATTTTTCTTGAAATACGAAACTCCACAGAAATACCTTTAGTTTTTCCACGACTAATACAGAAGTAGATAGGACTTTTTCGGTTTTCTCCTCATTCTACTATAGGAAAAACGACTTAAGTAAATGAAAAAAAAAACTCAGTGTTGGGGACACTGCGTGAAGCAGTGGAGACTGCAGGAACTGACCCACGCACGACCCATCCCAAAGGGCCAGTAGAATGCAGAACCCCATGCTGCCAGCTGAACCACGTTTTTAAGAAACACCGAAAAAAAAAACACTGCTTTTATAAGAAATTTCTTGTTTTTAAAGGCAGGCAACTAATTTAAATATCCTTAAAACACTTGTCAGGGACACGCTGTGCAGACCCAAGCAAGCTCATCCACAGCCCAGAACCAGCCAGAATCCGTGTTCCTGCTTTAGTACTCAGCCTGCAACGCTAACACATCTACGCGTAAAACATCCCGGTCAGAACAAGATGGCTCAGCATCACAGGTAGAAGCTCGCCTTCCTTCAGTGCTTTCTTAGTGTCCAAGTTTCCTGAGCTTACCTGACCGTACAACTCCGACTAGAAATGATATACTCTAGATCTGTTCTTCGGCAAGAGGTCCTAGTCGGTTTGGGGTTCATGCGTGGGCTCTATCAGTATTTAGCATGTAAAGAGGTAGAAATGGATGCTTCTCATTTTGGAATTTTTCCACCTCTGCTCCCAGAGGATGGGCACACAGTTCTCCAGAGAGAGAGAGAGGACCATACAGATTAAAGAGCGTTTGTAACGAGCCACTCAGGCTTGGCAGCGGGTCCCCTGCAGGAAGCAGTTACAGCACCTGAGGGACCCACGTCGGCTTTCTCGACTCAGGTCAGCATATGGAGAGCAGTTAGCAGAGCTACGTAGCAAACAGACACGCAGGAAATATGGACTGACATATATTAACGCCTTGGAGATGCACAAGCGCCTCCAACTTACCCCTTAAGGCAGTGGGGATGACACTTAGTGTTACCACTCGTTCATCCAGAATGAGCTGTCCAAAGAGGTGTCTTTGTAATTCGAGCACGAAGTCCTGGCAAGAGAGAAGAAAAACGCAGAGGGGGTGAGAAACAATTTCTCCGAATTAGAATTTTTATAATCGAAGTTTGATTTCTCAGCATTCTGCTAGATATTGTGCTTGGTACAAAAAGGAAGCATCTAAAAGAAAAAAAATCAAGGGTTAAATGATTAACTATACAGAAAATAGGAGGATCTTCCCACATCTTAACTGGAGAAGCAAATTTAATGCTTCGTCCTATAACTTCATATGGCCAAGCCATTTTATAGATACAAGGAGGGAGGGCAGAAGGAAGGAAGGAGGGAAGTGAAGGAGGGGAAGAGATGGATGGATGGATGGATGGATGGATGGATGGATGGATGGATGGATGGATGCATGGATGGATGCATGGATGGACAGATGGATGGACGGACAGACGGACAGACACAGAGCCTACTGTGGTCCAGCCACTAATCCAGAGGTGGGAGTAGAGCAGTAAATAAGAGAGAAAGTTGCTGCTCTCACTGAGCTTCATTCAAACAGAAAGAAGCAGTCAAAATAAACACATAAATAAGAAAAATGCGTTCCAGTGATATGTGAAATACAGAGACAGGATTACGAGACAGTGAATGACAAGTGGCTAATTTAAAATGGAAGCGCAGGAAATGGCTCTCTGAGACAGCCACCAGGCTGAGATCTGAACGCTACTTTGCAGTAAGGGGAATGGTCCCTAACAGAGGCAGCACGGGTCCCTGAACAGAAGGACCAGCAAAATCCTAAGAACCAGCGTGTCAAGGACAGTCATCATGGGCTGTGGGGGCAGAATCCAAATGAAAGTGGGTGAGGTCAACGATCAGAGTCTTGTCACTCATTAAGCAGGTGATTTTAGTGTCCTCTCTAATGGAGAATAATACTTGCTTCCTATCTTTGCTATGATGCCCAGTGATATGTTAAAGTTCATGGTCCATTCAGCCAACATACCAGCAAGTCTCTTTTCTTTTATTGTTTAAAATGTTAAAGAGATTGCTTTCAGAGAGTGAGACTTGCCTTTTTATAAGTCAGTATTTCACCTCTGCTATGTACACAAGATACTACACTGTGGTGATAATTGTGTACTCTGGGTGACAGCCCTTGATAAAAAATGCAGACTTTGGAGCCAAAAGATCAGGGTCCAAGCCCCAGGTCCCCCATTACCACCTGATTGAGCCCAGACTGGTTATTTAAATTATCTAAGCGTCTGGTTTCTTCAACTATAAATGGAAAGTAATATTAGTTACTTTTCAGGGTTATTCTAAATATTTAATGGCATAATGCTCATAAAATAATAAAGTGACCAAAGCAGCAATATATTACTTTCACTGTAAACAGTTGCTATTAGGAAATGCTTGGTTATCACAATGATTCATGCTATAGAAATACACCTATATAACTAGGCATAGCACAGATAACAATTTTCATGTACTGTTATAGACCATCCTATGGGTGAACCTCTAAAAAACAGCCCAATTCCCTCTCGTTGCAGGTGAGAATTTAAAGCTGAAAGAGGTAGACTGATTTGCCCAAGGTGGCATAATTGGTTCAGAGAACATTCTCAGAAACCTGATCTATTTGGTCAAAAATGCCTACCTTATAAGATAAATCCTATATAGACATAAATTTTGAATTCGCTTTGTAATTAACCCAGCATGGACAAGAAAATACTTTTAAATGGTAAGAATGGAAAATTGAGCAAGCTTCAGCGGGCCCTATCTACACACATTATCGTGACCATTTTGTTTAAAGCCAAGAATTGTCATATTTTACTGATGGCCTGATGTCAATTTGCTAACCAAGAAACCATAAAATAGAAGACCTGCCACGTTTTAATTTTTCCAGTGAGGATAACAGATATTGCACCTCGAGCACCCATTATGTGACAGAAGCTTTCCAGACATGCATTCTAAACACTCGGCCATTTCATGAGTGTGACAGTTTTTTATTCTCCAAGTACTTGCATATACTGTTTCCTGCTGGGAATGCTTTCCTGGAGAAGTCCTAGTTACCCCATCGAGACCCAGCTTATATGTATCCTCTTCTGTGGAGCCTGCCCCGACTTCGTCCTCTCTCCCCGCAAGAAATGAAGTGTCCTCCCTCCCCTCTGCACCTCACCGCTCTACCTTATGCGGGCAATTACATTGCAACTCTTTCTTTTTCACTTGTCTGTCTCCTTGACGAGGTTTTAATGGCTTTGAACTTGAAAAGGACTCATCTGAATTTGTCGCTAATACAACATGTTTAAATTTAGACTAGCCTGCTTTTCCATCACATGACTTATATTACAAATAAAAGGGAAGTTACAACTTCACTATGGTGATAGTTAAGGTTTTGTGTCGACTTGGCTAGGCTACAATACACAGCTGTTTGGTCAAACACCAGTCTAGATATTGCTGTGAAGGTATTTTTTTAGATATGATTAACATTTAAATCCGTATACTTTGAATAAAGTGGATTATCCTCCATAATGCGTGTGTGCCTCAGCCAATCAGTGGAAGGCCATGCGAGCAAAGACTGAGGTTTCTCAGAATATTTTTCTTAGGTTTGAAGAAGAAATTCTGCCTCCAGACTGCAACACAGTAACCTGCCCGACATGCCCACCTCCTGCCATTGGGAATTCGAACTCAAGACCACAATATCAACTTCTGCCTGAGCTACCAGTCTGCCGGCCTACCCTATGGATTTCAGACTCACTCAATAATGTGAGGCAATTTTCTAAACTCTCTCAATAGATAGATGGATGGATAGATGGATAGATAGGCGGATAGATAGGCAAGCAGGCTCCTGCCGGTTCTGCTTCTCTGGAGAATCTGATTAATATAACTACTAATCGTTTTGGATTGAAATGATTTTAGACAGGATTCTAGAAGTTTTGAGTTTAGAGTACACTGATTTGAACCCTGCTCATTTTGTAGAGGAAGAAGGAGAGGCCCAGAAAGGCTGACCTGCCACGTCAACAGCGGAAAAGAACTGAGGCCAGAACTCGGATCGCCAGACAACGACATCGGCCCTGTTCCAGAACAGATGACAGCGGTTTTGTCCCAGTGACAAATCGGTGGTTGCCAAAAGTACTCTCCCTTGGATCCTGCGTCTTCTCTGCAACCCTTTCCACGTTCTGAATGTATTCCACATCCAAAATTAACTCTCGTCCAGTTGGATGAACTACAGTCCCTCTTCAACAAGCGGATATTCTCTCAACCGTGTTATCAGTGAGACACTCTCTTGCTCCGAGCCATTGGGTAAAACTACAGAAGGATCTAACAGGCTCCACTGTGTATTTAAGTCTATGAGATTCAAGGCAGCGCTACATAAACCACATCTATAACACAGCTCTAGCAAGACTATGTTTTTAGCTACTCAAAGAAGGTGCTTGTATCTATGGCAGCACACAGATACCATGTATGGCCGAGTCATCAACCAACGGGTTTCAATCATGCTCTTTTCAGCCTGAATATCAGCCAGTCCTGGAGCCTCTGAGCTTGCCTGCCACCACAATGTCATTGTAATTGAACATGAATATACCTTACGATTTTTTCTCCCATGAGTTTGGCAGTGAAAAGCTATTCGATTTCACGATGCTGAAGATTCTACCGGCAAACCTCCCCTCAAAGCTGAATGTAATCAGGCCCAGCAGTGAAAAGAAAGGAAGGCCACACCCAAGGCACAGCCACAGCATTTATCAATCAATCTCCGAGCCTATTGTCAAGGCTGCACTAGGTTCCCAGTGCCCTGTGTTTATAAAATTTCACTGCAGGGCGACTGAGTGGGACAGCCGCCAGCACCCGGCACAGCTACCAACACAGGTCAGGAGAAATTGCTGGGGAAGAGAGTGATCGATTTAGCTTAACCCATGCCCTGAATTAAAATATGCTCCCCCTACTCCAATTAGGTAAAAAGAATGCATTTCTCCCTGAGAAATTTCTCTCTAAAAATTCACGCCTTCGATTTAAATCCCCTTTGTAATTCCCATCTCTCTGAATACAAAACACGTTTTAAAGTTTCTGGATTTACTTTAGCCCTGCTATCGGCTGGGCAGCTTATCAACACAGAGACTGGACTGCAGCGTTTGTAGTAGAACAATGCAGTAAGTGGGAACTTTTCCAGGAGCCAGAAAGGGACTGGGAGTAAGAAAAGCAACTCCTGTCTCCTGTAACCCCTTGTATGACCCAGGTCTAGACTGAGACCCTCCAGAATCTGCATTCACAGGAGGAGCACTCGTCAGCCCAGCCTCTTGGGCCGTTGGAGACTTCAGAGACACGATGAGTAAAGCACTACGCGACACTCACTCCAGGGCATCGGGGGAGCCTGCACAGGGACCCTGCACGCCTCCACCACAGGACAGCTTCGACCGGCCTCTCACATGGACCCTAGCACGCTGTTCCTGCACGAAGAGCTGGCGGAATGAGATGCGGCCCTTGACAGAAAGGGGCTGTCCACTCTCCCAGCGGACGACAGCACGCCGGGCAATCATAAAAGAAAGACTAATTACCATGAAAATAGGAAGTTTCAGTCTATCCTCCCCAAATGACAGACTTCTATACACATGGAGCACAGTGCTTACTGCTTATTGCGAACCAAGTAACGGCAAAGCCCTTGTTATTTCTAAAACAGCTCATGTGAAACACCAAAAATATATATATACATATATCAGTGAACAGCTGGAAGCAGGGTAGGGCACATCCACTGGGCCACTGTGTTCCCGAGGCTGGCTTCTGTTTAGAATAAGTCTCCCCTAGGATTCTCACGAAGTTCACGATCCAGGGACAAAATTCAAGTATGTAGACGTTGGCACTGTCTAGCCGGTGTGCCTAACATGCAGGGCGCTGACTCAGTTATTCAATTCAAGACGTATCTGTTGAACATATATTGTGTTCAAGGCACTATGCTAAGTGTCGAGAATATGATGGTGGCGGAGAGGCTGCTACGGTCTCGCACAGCCTGTAAACAAGTAAACCATCAGTCACAAGGCAGTGTGGAGACAATCTGGTCCATGATGGTAACAC